TGGCACTTGAGAAAAATCAATGACTGCAGCTTACCCTGTCCACATCCTAAAAAAGCCATGGTCATCACCATGTATGCAGAAAAGGCATCGGACAGAATTCAGCGTTCTTTCTCGATAAAAATCTCTCAGCCAACTGGGCAGGAGAGGGAACTTCCTCGTCCTGATGCAGAGCATCCAGAACACCCTGCAGGCGGCCTCACGCTCCCCAGGGAAAGACTGATGCTTCCCCCCGAGATCGGGGCGGGGCACGCGTGTCCTCTCACCCCTCGCGGGCAGCGTCGTTCTGGTGTGTTTTAACAAATAGCATTCAGGTTAGAAAGGAGAAAGAAACTCTAGTAATGGACAATATGATTGTCTATGGTAGGTGATATTGTGGGATTTATCATAAAAAAGCTATTAGAACCAGTAAGTGAATTTTGTAAGGTTTTGGGATACAACATTAATATACAAAACTTGCTTGCGTTTCTGTATGCTAGCAATGAAAAATTAGAAATTGATGTAAGAACCAAGGCCAGTTAAGTACAGTGGCGTCAAAAAGATGAAATACTTAGGGACGTGTGGGCCTGCACACTGCACTGTGAGCCCTGCTGAGCACAGGCAGCGCCCCACAGCAGCGGGAGGTGCAGGCCGTGCTCATGGCCAGAGGACAGTGCTGTTCAGATGTCACTTCTCCCCGCACTGACCTGTGGCTTCGGCACAGTCCTGGTCACTACCCCAGCAGGCCCTTTTGGGCAGGAATTGACCATCTGAGCTAAGATTCAGATGGGAATTCAAAGAATTTAGAATTAACAAAACAACTTTGAAAGAAAACAAAGCTAGAGGCCTTAGTACTTGACTCAAAGACTTTATTTATTTATTTTTAGAGAGGGGAAGGGAGGGAGAAAGAGAGGAAGAGAAACATGCATGTGTGGTTGCTTCTCACGTGCCCCCTGCTGGGGACCAGGTCCATAACCCAGGCGTGTGCCCTGAATGGGAATTGAACCGACAACCCTTTGGTTCTCTGGCTGGTGCTCAATCCACTGAGCCATACTAGCCAGGGCCAAAGACTATTTTAAAGCCGTGGTAATTGAGACCGTGTAGCATCAGTGTAAAGATAGACAAATACATCAACTCAGCAAAACAGAGTCCAGGAATAGGCCTGTCTGGAAAGAGCCCAGCCATTGTTAATATATCAAGAATGACTCGTACAACATTGATGTCACCTGGCAGCCAAGGAGAGTGGACTGGAATGCGCATGTGTGAACAATGACGACTTCGCTGTACTAGTCAGTGGGGGCGGTAGATGCCCTTGAGTGAGCATGTGTGCTGTGTGGCCGTCACATTCAAAATGACTGAGCGAGAAGAGTAACGAATCTGCATCCAATTTTGCATTAAGCTTGAACATTCCTCCATGGGAACTATTGGGATGACTCAGAGGCCGCAGCCGTGGGCAGCCAGTGATTGGCAGCTTCATCATGACAACACATCCGCTCATGCATCTTGTCTCATGCAGAGTTTTTTGGCGAAACATCAAATCACTCAGACAACTCAGCCGTACGACAGCCCAGATTTGGTGCCTGAGACTTCTGGCTTCTCCCAAAACTAAAATCACCTTTGAAAGGAAAGAGATTTCAGGCCACATGTGAGATACAAGAAAATACGATGGGGCAGCTGATGGCGACTGGAAGAACTGTGTGAGGTCCCAAGGTGTCTGCTTTGAAGGGGACTGAGGTGTCATTGTCTTATGTACAGTGTTTCTTGTATCTTCAGTTAAGGTCTCTTTTTCATTAGATGGATAGATATACTTCCTGGACAGGCCTTGTATATCCACATGTGTCTACTGTCAATTTACTTTCAACAAAAGTGCAAAGGTGACTTGGTGGGAAAAGGGTATTTTCCACAAACGGTGTTAGAACAATTGGATAACCATAGATAAAAAATGAACTTCTCTCCATACCTGGCATCATCTGCAAAACGCAATTCAAAGAATTGTAGACTTGAATGTAAATCCTAAAAGTGTACCCCACGTAGAAGAACCCCAGGAGGAAGTCTGTGTGAGCATGGAGGACTGGGCTGTGATTTCTTGGGTAGAAATTACCCATTAAAGCATGATTTAAAAAAGTTGATACATTGGACATTATCAAAATTAAGAAATTTTGTTCTTTGAAACAAACTGCTGAGGGGACGAGGACAGCGTGAGACCGGCAGGCAGTGTCTGTGGGTGACACAGCTGATGAGGGACTCGTGTTCAGAGGGGCCAGGAGCTTGCCAAACTCGGGGCGTGCAAGCGAACACCGGTCACCAGCAGGCCGCAGAGGCGGAGCGGTGTCCCCAAAGGCCAGACGCAACACGTGGCAAGTGTGTCTGTGAGACGATGTTCACAGCCCTCCTTGCACGTGAGGGAGGTGCAAGCTAACATTCTTAAGTGGCGGAGGCTAAAGAGATCACTCAGACCCTATTTTGGCAAAATGCAGATGAAATTGGAACGCCGCTGCTGGGAATGTAAAAGTACGCAGCTGCTTTGGAAAGCATTTCCGCGGTTTCTCAGCACGGCGAACGCACGCCTGCTCTGCGGTCTGGCCCCTCCATGCCCCCGCACGTGCCCCAAGGAGAGGAAAGCGGGGGTCCTTAGCGAGACTTGGCCGAGGGGGCGCAGAGCGGGTTCGGCGGGGGCAGTCGCACACTGGGAACGACCCGGTTTGCCGGGGACCGAATTCGGTATGACTCATGCAAAGGACACGCTAATACCTGTCGCAGTGTTGAAAAATCTCAAGGAATTGTGCTCAGTGACAGAAGCCAGACAAAAGCCAAGGTACAGATTACACATACCGTGTATGTAAAATCCTGGACAATACAGCCCTTTCCACCCCGCAGGCTCGGGGGCTGTCTGGAGGAGGGGCGAGGTGTGGCGGCGGCCGGGAGTGCGGGCTGGGAGGGGGCGGGCCTTGGTCCTGGCCCTGCTGTCACTGCTAGCACCTCTGCCTAAATTTGTGAAATTGGGCACTTTGGGTAGTTATGTCCATTATAACTCAGTTAAAATTAGGGTTTTTCCTTTTATACGTGTTGTGGTTTCCCTCATTTTGCACTGACAATCGAGAATTCTCAATCTCTCCTCCCTTAGTCTGGGCCATGAGCTTTTACACAGAGGGTGTTTCCTTGTTAACATTTGGTGACACGGGATGTCAAGCCCATCCGTCCAACTCAGGGACTGACCCCTGGCACGGAGGCTGGCACGGGGAAGCTGACGCATGCCCTGGGGAGCTTTCTTCTGCTAAGTCTGCAGGCAGCGACTTAGCGGGCGGCGGGGGGCAGCGGAGGCGTGCGCGGCCTGGCACGTGGCAGCGCTCCGCGAAGCGTGGCATGTTTCCACACCTGGACGCCATCCGTGAGACAGGCCCCGCGGTCCGCGGAGGGTCGGGGGGTGCCCAGAGCGCCCGGGGCGTGCTCGGGTGTGCGGGCCCTCCCGGGCCCCCGACGGCGTTTCTCAGTTTCGGGGGTTACTGTGAGGTGTGTCATTGGACTGAAGCTACCTTGTGTAAGTTGAATACACTGACTTCTGTCTTTTCAACACAAGTGATTTAAAAGTGGGATTTCTGTTCTCCACCTTGCCTACACGAAGCAGCACAGAACAGCCATGGCTCTCTGACGTGTCACATAATCGTTCAAGTCATACCGATCAGAGTTGCGCCGCGTGTCTGGGGGTTGTTCGCGTGGAAGCCGCACAGAGGTGAAATGCGGCCGAGCCAAGGAGAGGCCCGCACGCCGAAAGCTTGCGCGCTCGACCTGGAGGGCACAGCTGTGCCCGGGGCTGCGGGCGCCTAGGCCACGCGTGCGGATGGTGCTGCACCCAGCACCTTTGAGGGAGGGCGACATGTGTCCACTGCTGGTGACCAAAAGCGAGAGCTGACACACTGGGCAGGAGGGGAGACGGGGAGACGGGGGAGAGGCCGGTGCTCACCGAGAGCTCCGCGGAGCTGGCCCGCGTTGGCCACGCCGGGACCGTGGCCGTTCCTGGGAGCGGGCGGAGGGGTCTGGTGGTGGAAGGGACAGCCGTTGCCCATGTCAGAAGCGCTGAATTGTAATTGTAGCCGGTTTCATCTTTGACTCTGGATTTTATACATTTTATAAAGAGCACAGCCATCATTTTGAAATCAGTTTTAAGTTGCAGTGTTTCATTTTGAAAAAGAAGGCGATGTCGGGCCAAGTCCTGCCCCAAGGACACACACGAAGTTCTCTTTTCCTCAATCCAGTCTTAGTTGCGTTTCACTGTGGTTTTCTAAGAGTGACGACTGTGCCACGAGGGGGAAGGTGGTGGGGGCGCGCCTGCCTGTCTCCCTTTTCTTTCCCACTTGGAGTCGCTTCGCTGAGACGTCTGTGATGTGCCGCTTCCTAGAAACCGCAGCTGTGGGTGTGCGCGGGCGGCCCGGCCGGCGGCCCCCTTGCTGCAGCCCGGCCGGCGGCGCTGCGCCGGGAAAACGGGCGTGCGCCCTGCTCTGGACCACGTGGAATAGCGCTTGGCGCGTCAGGGCTTGGGGAATGCTAGTGGCTGCTTTTGGGGTTTTAATGAGGCTTAAATTAAGTGAGATTATGCATGTAAAATGTTAGTAGAGTATCTGGCATTTATTAAGTGCTCAATAAATGCTAGTAGCTCTAATTTAAATATTCAGGTGCCACTGTGTCTATAGAGGCTGTGTCTTTGGGCTTCTGCATATGTCATATCTTCAGTGTATTTTAGGGCATGAGGAAAAATTAATTTCTGTACTGGCTTTTACCAGTAGATACATACCACAGAGTTACACACAGTTTAAATAATTGCTTTCTGATTTGTAGGGTTAGGTCATTTGTTAGGCCGCTCTCTTCAAGCTTACATTTATTTCTACTATTAAAAAGTATAGCTCTTTTGAAGACAAACATTGCAAGTTTGAAAAAACATGTGTAGCTCTGACCGAGGTCGCGGCCCAGCGTGGGCGCCCCTCTGGCAGGGCCGCGGGTGCTAACCTGTCCTCTGGTCGCCCCTGCAGGTTTGTGGAACCTCGTCTCTCTCTGCTCCAACCTCTGTCTGTTTGTCTTGATGCCCTTTGCCTTCTTCTTCCTGGAGTCGGAAGGCTTTGCTGGCCTGAAAAAGGTGAGTGCCCTGTGGGTGTTGGAGTCAGATTAGTTAAATGGAGAAGTCAGTGTGATTCACCGTTGAGCTATAAAAAATTGGCCATTTTGACTAGAATGTAAAAAGTTTCAATTTGTAACATCTTATTAATATAATTAATAACTTTAACAGTCATATTAGTGATACTGCTTGTTGAACTACTCTGTCCACAGGGCAAAAGTTGCCTTGGACCTCTGAGTGCGCCCGCAGGCTGCGTGGGCTGGGGGGACGCCTGTGGAGACGGGCACCCCCGAGGCGGCCGCCACCCCCCCCACCCCCGCCCCGCGTGCACCCGCCCCGCCCCCCTGCGCCGTCTGAGGCCTGGCGCAGGCTCCTGGAGGTGCCTCGATGGGAGTGACTTCCCTGTGGACTCGGGGCTGCAGCGTGTTCCCGCCTCACGAGTGTCGTGCTGCGAGTCCGGGGGAGACAGGACGGGGTGGGAGGTGGAAAGGACCAGACTGAGCTCACGAGAGCCCCGCCCTGGCTCGGCTCCCCAGGCGCCCCGACCGCGTCGGCCCTGGCGGGCGCAGGTGGGCAGGAGAGGACGGGAGTTTCTGTTTATAGCCTGTGGAGCTCTTTGCTGTGAACGTGTGGAGTATAGTGCGAAGGTTTAGGTAGCTAATGCTGTCGGGGTGACCCTTAGACTTGATACAATGAGTTCTAGTGTTGCAGTTTATTTATAGGCACAACATACCTTTTAACTCTTAGTTCTGTTCCCACGGCAATGCCTGGAGCGGAAGTGCTGCGCCGTGTGTCTCATCCTTGAACGACACTGTAAGGCCAGCTGCCTGGGTCTGGCGGGGAGGCTGTGAACCGCGCGCTTCGCTGTCCTGGGGGCTGTCACTGTGGGTTCTGGGGGGGAGTTGTTCAGTCTCACGTGCTGGCAGCTCTCTGGTTTTAAGCCCTGGGGCGTGCCCATGGCAGGCCTGTGCGTGGCGGCTGTGAGGAGCCGCGGAGACAGCGCGCGCGCGGGCCGGGGGCTCACCCCGGGGCTGCGGCCGTGTGTCTGCCCGGCGTCTGCGCGCATGGCCGGGAGGCGGCTCTGCGGTCCGAAGCCTGCGGGGCCCCCGGGGTGGCTGGCTTCGCAGACACTCCTGCCTGACGTGGAGGGCACGGGCTTTCATGGGTTAGGGTTGTTCTCAGTGAAGTGCTGGGCCGGCCAAAAAGTGCGTGTGTTTTTCTCTGGGCGATGGCTCCAGCAGCTTGGTTTTCTTTAACTTCATTCGAAACAAGTTTGTGAGATTGTATTGTGACAGCTGTCCTATCGGCCTGCGTTCAGAAATAACATCAAAACGGGTGAGTTTTTGCGCGGCCATTTAAATATTGAAGATGGAAGAAAATACGCAACATTTTTGGCATGTTTTGCTTTATTATTTCAAGAAAGGTAAAAACGCTGCTGAAATACTAAAAAAGATCTGCGCGGTGTGTGGAGAAGGTGCTGTGACAGGTCGAACGTGTCAGAAGTGGTTTGTGGAGTCTCGTGCTGGAGATTCCTCTGGACAATGCCCCACACAGTCCGGCAGACCAGCTGAAGTTGGTGGCAATCAAATCGAGACATTAATTGAGAACAATCAACATAATACCAAACAGGAGATAGTGGACATATTAAAAATATCCGAATCAATAAAGTTATTGGTAAACATGAAAAGTATGTCTTTTATTTTATAAGAAAAAACCATATGGACTTCTTGGCCTACCCAGTATATTTTGCACCTACAATTGTGTAGAACTCTTTCCTGTAAATTTTTTACTTCCAGTCTCTCTCTACCCGACTGAAAGAGTTTTCTTTTTCAAGCACATCATTGACTATGTTACTGCCGTCAGAAGCCCTTGGGGTTGCCAGCTCCGCTGGGGATCGCAGGGGAGGGACGCGGCGAGGGAATGGCCCGGGGAGCCGTGGGCGCGACCGCCTGACTGAGTGCACGCTGCCCGGGCCTGGAAAGGCGGGTGCAGGCAGCGCTGGGGACGGCCGCCGTCTCCGCCGGGGTCCTCGTGGTCTGTGGTGCTGGCAGGGAGGAGGACGCGGGGTGTGGCCTGGAGGCCGGGGAGAGGGGGTGTGTGTGCTGGGGGGCCTGGGAGGGTAGGGTGCGGAGGTGGCAGGCGGATGACCAGGCTGGCCTGCCTCAGTCGTGGAGTTTCCCCCGTAACGTGGGCGTGGCGGTGGTGATCAGCGACCTCGCTGCGTGGTTCAAGGTCAGGCGGGAGGAGCAATCCTGGAAAGCAAAGCCCGTGGCCCGGCGCGCAGCTCAGGAGCTGCTGGCCGGCACTGCCACTGGCCTGGGGCTCAGTGGCTCCGGCCAGTGAGGTTCTGTGGGAGGAAATGCCGGTGTCGTGTGGGGCAGTCAGCGCTGAACTCTTTACTGTCTCAGGCAGTTTTAAAATTCAGGTCACGATTCCCATTTTGAAACCGCACAGACGGATGCGGAGTCCAGCAGGCCTGAAGGCCGGAGCGTCTGGACTTCCTGGGAGTGCTCGGGAGTGGCACCGTTGAGGGGGCCGGAGCGTGTCATCCACGGTGCTCGCGTGTTTCTGGTTTGAGGTCGCTCGCACGCACGTGGCGGGGCTCCTCGTGCCGCCCTGTCCCGCGTGGGCATGTGGGGCCTGCCCGGGCCTGTCGGCGTCTGGCCTCCCTGTGCCCACGGTCATGGGTGTGACAGGCGCGGGTCCCCGACGGGGCTCAACCCGCAGCCCGTGCATGGCATCGCGGGCCGCGCCGTGGTCGCCCGCCCTGCCCGGCCCTGCCCGCCTGGGGCAGCTGCCGTCCCGCACAGCTGGCTGGCAGGCCGTGCATTTCCGTGCGTCCCTTTGAAGCTCTCTGCGCCCTGGTGACGTTTGACACGTTGGTCCCCAGCGATCCTGAGGAGAGCTTAGCAAACACCCCTAATTGGTAGGCGCAGCACCACGGTTCGCGTAATGACAGACTTGTAACACGGTCGAGTTCCAGTCCCTTTACCCCCTTGGCCACCCTCCTGGTGCGGTTTTACTGCGGCGCAGTCTGGGGGGAGCCCCTGCGTGGCACATGGCCCCGCCGTCCTCCCGTTGATTCCCCTGGGCGACCGATTTTAAAACGGCCCCTTGCATGGCATGCCGAGATGCGGAAATTGGCCACTAGCCACGGGCGGATGCAGAGCTTGAATTGAAAATCAAATTAAGCAGAATTCTCTACTTAGTTTTTAATTAAACCACTATGTTAATTCAAACAGGACAGTTTAGGCCTGGGGGGCTGACCCTGTCCTTTTAAGGGCCTTAAACAGCCTTTCCGCTGTCTCCTCGCTGCGGCGTGTGCTTCTGTTTTAGGGCCCGTCTCTGTGCGGCTCCTGCTCTTTACAGTCTCAAGGGCAGGAGAGTGTAAGTGGTTTTGATAAAGCGCCTTTTTTTTTTTTTTTTAGTGAGAAGGTCACTTTTATCTTGGAACTCTAGCTTATTGTTGGAAGTGAAATGTTGATCAACTTTAGGTTATTTGCCTGCCATGTGTAATTGTATCAAGCAATGTATGTGTTCGTGTGGATTTGAACCTGACCCCATACCTACATCTTAATGCTTCAACTCTGATAAAAAGGTCGCATCTTGCTGGGTTTTGTTTGTCTTGTGGTGAGAGATGCTTTCTCTGCAGTTTTTGTCTGGGTCACTGAGACATACAGTCACCAGGGTCTGAGGGTCCCAGGGCCGACAGCGCATTTCCTGGTCACTGCGCAGATGGCTTTGTGTTGTCCGCTGCCCGCTGCGCCTCGGAGAGACCCCTGTGATTACCTGGGTGACGTCTGAAGGCGTTTGCCTCACGACAGTCATAAGGAGCCCTGATAGTTGACCCTCAGCCAGGGTTCGAGTGGGAGCTAGGAATGTGATTTTTTTCGTATTGTATTTTACCACCTTATTTTGAATTCAGGTGTCATGAGGAAAACATTCAACAACATGATGAAAATGAAAAGAAACCTCATCTATGATAGATGAATTCAAAACCAAAGGTGTTTCTGGGAGTCACTTTACCCTGTGCCTCCCCTTAAGGCCGATCTTTGATTTGAAGTCATAGCATAAAGTTTAACCTAAGTGACAGCAACATCCTGACCAATTACCCAACGACCCAGACGTCCCTGAGCGTCCAGAGCATAGCACGCGCGCTGTGGGATTAAGAGGTTAACTCCTGAAACTTCAAACGGAGTGCTTGATAATAAAAGCAGAAAGTACAGAATCGGAGGTGACTTCCTTTCCTAATTAATTGGACCGGCCAGGTGGAGCGAACAGCGGTGCTGGTGCTGGAAGGCCCATAAAGCCGAGCGCCACGGCGGCCCCGCGCACGAGGGTCAGGGATCGCTTTCATATGCCTCTGTCCTGTGTCACAGTTTGAAACTGTCCTGGTTTATGTCCCTCTTGGCGAACTTCCATAAAAGTGACCTTGTACTGTAGTTTACGGCCAGACGGCTCCCCCCGCGGCTAATCCGTGTCAGGCCTCCGTCCGACGGAGACGCAGGCCCGAGGAGGAAGCCCCGCGCTGTCGCGGGGGCTTTCATGGCGCTCTTTCATTATTTTGGCTCGTTTTTGCCACTGATCATCCATAAATTGTTGGAAATGAGCGATTAAGGAAGTGCTGCTTAGTGTTAGTGGCACAAGCGCATATTTGGTTTGGTCTCTGGGGGTGAGAGGAAGTCGCATGCGAGGGGGGAAACTCCTGCTGGGAGGCCTCCAGGAGCCTCGCCCAGGGTCGCGTTTTGATCTTGGAGTTTATGACGGAAAATGCAGTCATAGCGCATGACTGTTGTTATGTGTCACTGTGATTCTCCCAACACCTTCGACGAAAAATCATTCCGTGATGTGCTCACAGAATTCCTTGACCCTCCCCAGTGCGGGGGCCGGCTTTTCCAGAGAGACGGCGTGGACAAGTGTGAACATCTCCAAACCACCCGGTGGCGCGGCGGCGGCGGGGGCGGCGCGAGGACCCCGTGGGAGCGGCCGCCCTCCGTGGAGACGCGCCTGGGGCAGCTGCT